TAGTTTTGCGAAGCGGCCAGCGGTGAGCTTTGCGGGGCAGCAACAAGTTTCACGGAGCAGTCGAGGAGTGGGATGGGCATCACGGAGCATCCTGGGGCAGGGAGCTTCACATAGCATCTCAGGGCAGCAGAGGCCAGGTTAGGCCTAGGGACCCTAACCATGCTTGATTTTGTGTGTGCTGGACCTCTAGTGTCAAAAAAATATATATTGGGTAAGTAAAATATTAATTAAAATTAGAAGAGATATATGTCAGTTATCAATAAAACTGGGAGGAGAATGAAATAAAGATTAGAAGGATTTTTTTGGAACTTGACATAATTTTAAAGACTAAACTACAATTGGATTTAATACTATAGAAGAGTGTACCCTGGCTGCACCCTTAGAAATACCTGGAGAGTTTTTTAAATCCCACTGCCCAGACCCAGGCTAAGTCACAATTTCTGGGCATGGAACCCAGACATTAAAGTTACCCAGTTGATGCAAAAGTTAGCTACTGCTATAAGAAGTGGAAAGTGCTTGGTTAAAAGAAGGAATTGAAATAGGAATTACAAAATTGGATCATTTCTATTCATTTGTGATCTTGGGCAAGTCACTTAATGCTTAATGTTAGTTTGTCATATATAACTTTGTTGGATGATCTCATCTATAACTTAGTTGCATGATGATCTCTGGAGATTTTTCTGCCTCTAAGATCTTTTGATTTTAACAAAGGAAAATGAGTAATGAAATAATGTTAGAGGGAAGATTAATTGGCTAAATGCAGGACAGTTTGGAGGTCAGAAGATGGTTGTCCTTGTCGGTGTGGGTAGGACAGGTGAGCTCCTCCGGGAGGCTACTTGCTTTGGGAATAGAAAGGAGAATACTTTCTGCTGGTCTCTTGGATGAATTAGGGATTTCCTCCCTTTCCTCAAGATAGATTTCAGGAGACTTAAAGTATGAATATTTAAGGATTTGGTTGCTGTAATTGATTTTTTCCTTATAACTTGTATTTTTATCTTTAGCCAAACCTTGAATAAAGAATGACTTACCTTGCCATAAATATTTAAGGGATGTGTTCTTAATCAGTTTGTGCAGTGGAAATAATTCATGGAAACATTTCTTAGGTCATAGGCCATTAATCATTTCTGAAAAATAATTAATAAGGAATTCAATTCATCTTTGATTGTTTAGCATCCTTCCAAATATGTAGCTTTGTATTTGAAATATGTTCATATATTTCTCCTAACATTGTATTACTCTTTATTTATCAGTTTGTCAAAATGAAATAAAAATTTGGTTTAGAAAAGTTTTATAACTTTCCCTACTGCTTTTTAACACTTTTTCGTTGTTGTTGTTGTTGTTAATCATGTTTTATCCCTGTTCTGTAAAAAGGGGAGTAAAATCTCTCTGTAGGATTGTTAAAAGGAGGAAAAGAAATGAAGTAGCATAATATAGTGTTTGACACATGGTTCTTAGGTATGTGATAAATTTTAATTCTACTGCCCTGCCCATATACAAGCTTAGGCATACATATTTGTATTTACTGTTGTAGTTATTTTATGCCAAAAAAAGTTTATGTGTTGCCCCCCCCCCTTTTTTTTTTCAACTTACACGTATTCTTCTTGATATGCTAGTAATATCTTGGAAATGAGTTTCCATAATTTTTTTCTAATTGTGCTAGAAAAAGAGTGAATTTTTCCCTCCTCTGACCTTACTCAGTTGTAATAGTTTGACTTACAGTGATATTCTTTATGTCATAAAGGAATTTGATTTTTTAAAAATAACTCAGTTCTTAAGTATTCAAGGCTTGATAATCCAGTATAAAATTGATGTCCTTCTTTCTGCTCTTTTGATTATTTTACACCTACCTAGTTCAAAGTACATCTCAGATCTTTTGAATTTATTAGCTATTTTGTTAAATGAAGCATGTTGAAGAAAAAATAAAAGTAAATGCTAGTCTTTGAGTTTATTTATTTCAGAGTCTTTCTCCACTCCAAGCACTATAAATTAACTCATTTGCCAATTCCTAATTGACTACATAAGCTTATCCATTCTTATTTCCTTCTCTAAAGGTTTTTGCTAATGTTCAGATAATCTCATGCTTCTAAAGTTACAAATTTTCATAATACTGCATAGAATAATTTGTATATGAAGGGTTGAAGTAAGCAAATCTGGATGGGTTTTGTGGACTTAGTAATTATTAGAAAAGAAGTCTGAGGGTACTAGATTTTTGAAAAGTGTATGTTTATAATGGAAAAGTTGTAAAGAGATTGAAAAGGAAAACCAAAGAAAAGACAACTTGATAGAGAGAGAAAAAGGGAGAAAGAAAATGGAGGGAAGAGAACAAGAGATGAAAGTTTAAAAAAAAAAAAAAAGTTTGAAGAGAAACATTCAAAAATGGAAAAAGAAAGTAAGAGGGGAAAAAAATTATTAGGCACTCATAAGGTACTAATTAGTGTTATATTGGGTTCCTAAAAGGCTCTAAACTCTAGTCTTGGTTCTTTGGGTCACCTTGGAGAAGTCAGTAAACTTCTCTGTAACTCAGCTTCCTCAAATCTGTAAAACGTGAACTTTGGACTAAGTGATCTTTAAGACTCCTTCTGGCTCTAAAATTGTATAATATTTCTTGTTAGTTAATCACTGAGGAAAACAATCCTTTGGGAAATTTGCAGCTATAGCTGACTTTTGGACAACATATTTGGGGAGAAGGATGTAAGCTCCCTGAGGAGAGGAGTCTTTTTTTCTCTGTCTTGTTCACTACTTTATCCCCAGCAGCTGGTATAGTCAATGTTTAGTGAGTGATGTGAAAATTATCACTTTGTTGGTTCATTTCAAGGAGCATCTAGTGGGCTTAGGGGAAAACTATGTGTTTGAAAGAAGGAAAAGAATGATTTCTTCTGAAGATATCTTATATACTTATATAGGTTGATTTTTAATATTTTGTGCTTCCTTATTTTGTCCCAGATTCAGAGAAAGTGGCTGCAGGGAGTGGTATACTCATCATAAAACTTATAGTGATCAGACATATAGTAACTAAATCAACATGTAATCTAGGCCAGTTCTCTTCATGTGACTTAAAGAAATGCAGAAACAAGCTTGGGTCTTCATGGAAGAGTGAAAAGAGTACATATAGCCTATAGTCATTACACTAAATTGTATACACTGGCTTCATTCAGTTGAGAAGCAAACTTAGGCTGAGTATTGAGGCTGGTAGATTCAAGGGAAATCTTTTTTTTTTTTTTTAATATATTTTATTGATTTTTTACAGAGAGGAAGGGAGAGAGATAAAGAGCTAGAAACATCGATGAGAGAGAAACATCGACCAGTTGCCTCTTGCACACCCCCTACCGGGGATGTGCCCGCAACCAAGGTACATGCCTTTGACCAGAATCAAACCCGGAACCTTTCAGTCCGCAGACCGACGCTCTACCACTGAGCCAAACCGGTTTCGGCCCAAGGGAAATCTTAATAATCTACTGGTATCCCTAGATTAAAAGGTGGTACATAGTTATGCCTAAAGGTAAATTTTACAATGATATTTGAAGGAAACATTCATAATATATTCCCCATTTTTTTTTAGGTCATAGTTTCAAAATATGACCAAAATTGACCAAAAGGGGGGTGGGGGAAGAGTCACTATAAATCTCTAGCAATTGTCATCTACTTATTCATTAGCACTCACTCCCTCTTATCTCTTTTATTTAACTTCCATTTAGAATAAGTTTGGTTGGTTGATGTGCCATTTCATGTAGACAGAAACAGAAAGCATAAAAAAGTTTGCGTCTGTAAGATGGAGGCAATGGGCCTTTAATTCATAGGCATATATGATGACAAGTGAGAGCTGAACAGTCCTACTTTGAGAGATAAAAGAGGGGAAAATAAACATCTAGCACATTAGTTATAATAATTATTTTGAGTCATTAAGAAAATAATAATTTGTATTTTATATTAATAAAAGGTAGGAATTATGTCATACATTTTTCTAAAAAACTTACCCCATTTATTTTTTAATGTTTTACATCTGAATATTAAACCCTAAATAGCCTTTAACAATACACCTATTGGAATGCATTTATCACTACATCTGGTCCCAGGAGTGCTACTAGATAAATAGAAGGTGACTGTACTTTGAAATTTGTTTATTTTTAAAATATATTTTTATTGATTTCAGAGAGGAAGGAAGAGGGAGAGAGAGAAAAACGTCAATGATGAGAGAGAATCATTGATCAGCCACCTCCTACACGTCCTACATTGGGGATCAAGCTGCAACCCAGACATGTGCTCTACCTGGGAATTGATCCGTGACCTGCTAGTTTATAGATCAGCACTCAGTCACTGAGCCATGCTGGCTGGGCTACTTTGAAATTTTTCTATATATATATATATATATATATATATATATATATATATATATATATCTCACACACATATATATACACACATATACATACATATATATCAGTATGTATATGTATGTATATATATTTAAAAGTTTTGTTTCTTGTAGCTATGTCAGGTTGAGTTTAATCAGTTGCTTACATTTTATGTTGGGTTTGTAAAGACTAATATTGAGAAGTATGTAAGTATAAATAGTAGTAAAAAGACTTTCTGAAATGCATTTTAAAAGGATTATATAAAAAGTTAAAGTTAAACAAAGCAAGGTTAAATGTCTGTGTACTTCAGTTATTATTTAAAACAAAAACACACGATTGCAAATTTTTTAAAAGCATATTTGTACAAATTGTTTTTATGGAATATCAGTTATCTAATTTGTCATTGACAGACATAGTTTATTGTAAAATAGGAATATGAAAGCAATATCCATTTATAATAAGTTTCAGACCAGGACATTATTTTTGTTAAAATTAGAGTCCATTTGGAGTGAATTGAATATATTCATTTAAAATTTGCATTTTATATTACAATGATTTTTATATGTTTTAAATTACCAACTCCAGAAGATGGATAACAATTTCATTCCTGATGGCAATGAATTTCCTTCTTCTGAATTTTTTTAATAGGTGCACTAGGCCTTCCAATGAGGGGGATGAGCAACAATACCCCTCAGTTAAATCGCAGCTTATCACAAGGCACTCAGTTACCGAGCCACGTCACGCCAACAACAGGGGTACCAACAATGTCACTTCACACGCCTCCATCTCCAAGCAGGTATTTATTGGTGGACCAGCATATTTCTCAAAATGTATCTTTGTAGAGTAAGCAAGCTTTTCAGTTTTTCATAAGGTAACTAAATGATTCAGTGCCTTTCACTGAGGAAAAGAAAGTTGATACCCTCTGCTAATTTTATTTCATTGCACATTGATAAGTCTAGTGTAAGATGTTTTTATCCTGCAGCTAGCATACTGTTTGTCAGCTGTTGGGTATTAAGGGTTAATTTCCACTAGGGGGGGCTTTTTCAAAAGCTAGCTCTCTCCTTCAAAGAAAGATATGCAATTTAAAATCACTCCTTAGATAATTCTGATTATTGCTCCCTCACCTCACATCCATTGCCTCTAGTGAGAATAAAATAAAACAGATTACATAGATGATGCATATAAATATGAAGAAAGTAAAATGACATACATTTGGAATGAAATTATTCTAATATATATGTGCAATACATTTGTATTACGTTATAGTCACATCTTAGAATATCTCTGTATATTAGTTCCACTGTAATTTCCCCTTTTGGTTTATTTACTTTGGTTGTTTTTTGTTTTTGTTTTTTGTTTTTTAAGAGTATAATGCTGGACAAAAGAAATTAATAAAAATTAGCAGTGCAATTTGAAAGTATATTTGAAGTTCTAGGATTAGGTCAATTGATTATTTACAGAGAATTTTAATGAGTAATTGTAGAGAGTTTATTTAGTATAATGGACTTCTTTTTCAGGGGTATTTTGCCTATGAATCCTAGGAATATGATGAACCACTCCCAGGTTGGTCAGGGCATTGGAATTCCTAGCAGGACAAATAGCATGAGCAGTTCAGGGTTAGGTAGCCCCAACAGAAGCTCGCCAAGCATTATATGTATGCCAAAGCAACAGCCTTCTCGACAGCCTTTTACTGTGAACAGGTAAGATGTTTATTGATACTGTGTATAATTGTCTTTCTGGGTATTTTCAAATTTGCCTTTTCATATTCAGCATTCTGTTCTTGAGTCGTGGCTTCTGTCTCAAAAGTGTTTCATCATATATTTATGACCAGAGATTCTCTTTCTGTTACACATCACAATTTTAACCTCTCCAAATTCAAGACACATTATTTTGAAAATCAGTTTTATTTTAGAAAGCACATATAGCTTTTTATTGTTGCTCTTAGAAGAGGATTTTTTTTTGTTGCCATCAGGCAGATTTTTGTTGCTGTGTTTTTCCTCTATTAAATGAGGCTGGTCACCTGTGCATTAAGAATTTTATACTTCTGAATAGGACATAGTTGACTATTATTGCCTTGCTTCATTTTGGCTTTGGTTAAGTATCTTTTCAACTGAAATTCAATTTTGTACTTACTTTGGAGACTTTTTGAACAAAGGCTTTCTCCGACTACATCTTTCAAGTATTTGAAAATTGTCATGTCCGGGTATTTAAAACAAAAAGATGAACTCTTAACACCTTTTCCTGCCTTTTTGCACTATCCATTCAATATACTCTTATGCAAATAATAACAATACATGAGAGTTGTATCTACAACGGAAGGCTTTCTTTCTTGCAAAGATAACATTTAAGTTTGCCAATATTTTTTAAATGGGGAACACCAGGGAAAAGGAGGACCTTGATCTATCATCATACCCAGTTGTTTCACTTTCTTTTATCTAGTATTTGTAAAATCTGAATTAAAATAGGTTATTAGGACATTTTCTTTTTATACTTCATCTCATAAGCTTCAATTCTTTTACTTAGACTTAGGAACATTTCTTTTATAATCATACTGCTTTTTAAATTTTAAGTTATTCCTTGTTAAAGGGTTATCAAAATTCTCATCTCCTTAATAGCTTCCTAATCATGCAATACTTCTTGAGCTTTATCACATCTTTCCCCATTCTTATAGTATTGCTCATTGAATGTATATTTACATTTTTGCCTTTCCATTTTTTTCCCACATTTTAATTGTTTTTAAAAATAATTTGTTTATAAACTGTCAATGATACTTTGGATCTCTAAAACCCGACTATTACTATTGATGAGTTATATTTATAATAGAATGTTTTCATCTCTTAGCACTTATTCAATGTTTAAGGGGTACCTGTATCAGCAATTCTAATATGCTATTAAACCAACATTTCTATAGGCTTTCCTACTCTTATCTAAAGTATTGTTGTTGCAAGCTACATATTTTATGAAAATATTGTTTGGTCATAGTTAGTTTTTTGGATATAGGCAAAAAAAAAAAAACAGGACACCTGTTATCTTCAAACAGTTTAACCCTCGTAAGAACACAAAAACACTGTCTTTTATGAGACTTTTTGATGTTAAAAATCTTACTATCATTGTAGGATTGGCATTAATTCCTTTTAAATTCTTAATTACTTGTGGCCTTGCTTTAAGTTGTCGTATTTTTTGCTTTTGTTTTTTCCATGTTTAGGCTTGTGCAAAAAAAAATTAAAAAAGAAGGCACTTGTAACTATTTACCAAGTACCAATTGTTCATTAATTTTTAAAATTGAGGGGACTACAGGAAGATATATTTTTCTTTTAAGTATCTGAAAGATAAACTATATTTAAATAAGAATGATGTGTTTTATAACACTGAATTCAGTTAACGAAAAGCACCATTTACTTCAGGTGAACTAAATGTTTGAGTACCTATTTTCTCCTGAACACTTAAGGACAGAGGATGTACAGTTGAATAGGACATGGACTTGGTTTATGAGGAGTGTATTTTCTAGTTGAGGAAGAAAGATTGTATCCAAAAAGATCTTTTATGGACAATATCAGTAGCACACTTTACTAGTAGTTGAAATGTTCAGGAACAGTGGTCCTACACTAAACTGCATAGTTCTGCCAGTATATCCAGTATGGTGACTCTCCAAGAAGACTAAATGGTACCCTTAATCTTTGTTTTCTTCAGACTTGTAAATTTTTTTGTTTTTTGTTTCTTAAGTCGTCTGTGTAAGATGTTTGGTTCTTTATTGTTCATGGAGGTCTTAGGGAGATATTAAAATAAATTTAAAGAATTAAACTCAGGAGGACAAAATTAGTATTTGTTTTAAAACATATTGTTGTTTTATATGAGGAGATCAAAAGTATACACTTTTGTTTATCTTCATCTGAAAGTTAGTGTTCTTACTGTATATCTAAAATTATTTTCTATGTACCCAGTATGTCTGGATTTGGAATGAACAGGAATCAGGCATTTGGAATGAATAACTCCTTATCAAGTAACATTTTTAATGGAACAGGTAAGCTTATTCTGGAGATAGACCCTATAATAAACATATGGTAGATCTTTGAAATATAAAGCAATTGAACATACTGGTCTTAAAATATTACAGGATAATTTTTTTGTGTGTTAAATTGGTAGAATTGAATCTAGGGAGAGTTTGACAGGAATAGGACAATTCAGTGAACAGTTTAGAGATATTTAAATATATTTTTCACTTGGCATGGTAAAAACATTGTTTTATAACTTCGGTATTATTTCCTTAATACCTAGAGGATCCTAAATATTAACTAAGTCTTTATATATGCCTCCAAATCTTTTTTGCTTTAGGAACTTTTCCTATCTGCAGTCCTGTCACCATTGTCTAAACTAGGTTAGGTGGTATGGCATTCTAGCCATGAGATTCAGAATGAAGAAATCTTTAACATTATATGGAGCCACTTACAAGTTTTTCTTAACAGTTTTAATACTGCTTTGGCATTTTAACCCTTAGAAATTTTATGTGATAAAATTCAAAATTACATGGAAAAACAACTCTGATATTGACAATAAAGAATTCTTGCAGTCTGTTGATTTATTTCTTTTAGCATCTATTTCAGACCAAATAGGAGGCTTTGTGCTATTCTGCTACAGGTTTCACCCTCTTCTACCCTTGCCTCCTGAGAAAGGAAATAAAAGATGTTGTTATGGTCATAGGAGCCAAAATGAATATGATTGTTGAGAGAGAAATGTATGTAAAAGAAGTAGAAGGTGAAAGAATGATCAGTTAAATGGAGCATATGTGGAAGCTTGAGAGAAGATGAAATGTCATCTGTGGCTATAGACTTTGATTTTTAAAGTTCTCTCTAGCAGCATGGGTTGATCAAATGAGACTTTAAAATTCTAAGTGTTAGCATTTAAAAGTTATTGATTTGTGTTCAAGATGTTAAAATAATATAAAGTACCACATCTCATTATTTCTAAAATGTACATTTTAAAAAATATTTTAATATCTCTGAAATTAAACAGCATCTCATAGTTTAAGGCAAAACATTTTAAATGTACCATAAAGTAACTGTCTGACAATACCACCTTATATTCTGAATTATAGTTTTATAAATTTTAGAATTATTTTTAAAATTCAGTTTTAACTAAAAACATTTCACGATAGGAAAATTGCTCCTAAATTCCTAAAAATATAAATTTGGGGGTTAATTATCTGTTTTTAAGTAAAAACTATTTTCAGATAACATGGCAATTTAATTTCTTCTTAGAGGACCTGAATATGTATATTAAAAATTAATATGTAGTTAATTTATAATCAAATGATTGGAGAGAGATTACTATATAGATTGAAATTGTGAATTGTTAATTTCTATCTTATTCATATAGTATATTATTAAAACTTAAAATTCATCGGCTTCAATTTAAAAAACAACAACAATGGGTATGAATGATTTTTTCTTTTACCCTCCATAATTTTAAATTGCCACCTAACTTGGAATGTTAAGAGAATGTATTTTTTCTATTAGCAATTATCTTGAGATAAAACTGGTGTTTTCCTCAGAATTTTCTAATTAAGCAACTTGGAGAAAAATTAAAATTAACTGGAAAGAAGGCAAAATAAAGTGAGAATGGTTATAAAGCGCTAGGTGAAAGAAAAGTTATATTTCAGGCTAAAACCAAGGTAGAAATTAAATTCTTTAAAAATTAGGAATCAAGATTGTAAGAATTAGAGAATAATAGAAATTAAAAAAACAAGGGGATGATTAAAATAGGCAAAGTATAAATGTTGGGTTAAATTTTAACTTTTAAAAGGAAGCAAGATGAGTTTTTAAAAATATAAAATGAAGAAAAATAAATTTTATCTAACATATTTATTGAGCGCCTACTGTGTAATAGGTAAAAAAACTTTTGGTCTTTATATCATATTCCCATGCTTTCTAAGCATTCAACAGACATAGGAACTGTACTTATACCCTACTTATGCTACCCTGCTTATTTCCTCAAATCAAAATGCACATACACTCACACACATGCATATATACCTGTGATGAGACCAATAGACCACAGGAAAGAAGTTCTTACAGTTTCTGTTTCCACTGCTTTCCTTCAGATCTTATTCTGGCCATTTGCAGGAGGCACTGTTATTCTCACACTTGTATATAATTGAAGCTCCAAGCATTTCAGACAAAAGCTCTACTTTTGGATATAATGGAAAGAGCAGTTATATCACAATAAGCTCTCTCTTGCTAGCTAAAATGCTATAACTTTAGAGTATCATCTTTGACTGGGAAAATACAGTGTACCACCTTATTATTTATTCTTTACCTTAAATCTCTAAGATTTAAAATTTTTATTATGCTAGTTATATTTTTCTTTGCTGAATTGTTCATGAAATTCTTTTATATGAAATCAACCCATAAATATTTATTGTACACCTGCATATACCTAGTACAGTGCTGTGCATTATATAGCAAGAAGGCACTGTCATTTCAAATTATATTATGGTTGGCCTCTAATAATATCTATAAAATGTTGGTTGAATCAATAACAGGTGTTCCTTCTTATTATTTAGATGGAAGTGAAAATGTGACAGGATTGGACCTTTCAGATTTTCCAGCATTAGCAGACCGAAACAGAAGGGAAGGAAGTGGTAACCCAACTCCATTAATAAACCCCTTGGCTGGAAGAGCTCCTTATGGTAATTAAGCTTTTTAATGATGGCCAATGGAAACTTTCCATTGCACATACATATACACATACTGGTATACGTGTGTGTATGTTTTCGGATCAGAGTAGTATAATTTGTTGGATATACTCAAAGTGTATTTTCCTCCCAGAATACCATCATAGCAAAGTTAAATGGGAAAACTTAGTTTGTACAGAAACACCAAAAGGAAGTCCTCATTGTTATTCAGTAGTTATTTTCTTCTGGCAGTTCCGCATCGATACACCTTAATGATTTTGTGATCTGCCTTTTATTAATTTGTCACACATTTTTTAAAAGAATACATTATTAGTGATTAATAATGACTGACCATACAGTAAACATTTTTTTCTAAGCCAGTTTTTTGGCCTCCACACTATTGACATTTGGGTCAGATAATTCCTTGTAAATGAGGGGCTATCTTGTACATTATAGGATATTTAGCAACATCCCTGGCCTCTGCCTACTGGATGCCAGTATCCCCTCTTACCTCTCACCTCTCATCCTTCCCCCATTGTGACAACCACAGATGTCTCCATAATTGACAAATGTGTGGGAGGGAGGAATTGCCTCCTGTTGAGAACCACAGCTCATGGGTCATGTATAGTTTATGTAGACTTTCCGTCACCATTAAAATACCCCATTTTACTGACTCTAATAAGAAATTTGTTTGATAGATGCTAAATGAAAAGAAGAGGGATGCTAAATATTTTCCATATATTCCTTGACCTTTAAATGTTCAAATGTATACAATACAGGATTTATTTGTATATTATAGGACAGTTGTAGAAACATGTGCAGTAACAATTTAGACATGAAAATTAGGTAGCTGCAATGTAGCCGTATTCTTTTTATTCGTTGCACATAGTAGGTAATTGTTTCTTTCTGGCAGAACCTGATAGAGACGTATAGCAGAAAACAATGAACTTAGAGGGATCAGTTCATCACTCTTACAACTGTTTTTTCCCATTTTCAACCTAGAAAGATTTTCATGCCTTTCAGAATATGAATACAAATAATATATGAAGAAGGGAAAAAGTAATTGTTCATATTCTGAAGTTCCAAATCAGTCTTCCAAAAATAACAAAAAATGATCTGGAAGTTGAGTACCTAGCTACTTGATTCTCAGTTCAGACTCTAATGTTTTTAACCTTTCCTCATAGGTCCACTTTTTCATCCCTTTAATCATTCCCGTTGCTCTCCTTGGACCAACTCTAGTTTCTCCATATCGTTCTTGAACTGTGGCGCCCCAAACTGGATATTGTTCTCCAATAAGGGCCAGACTAATGCCAAGTATAGTGGGAGGATTACTTCCCAGTTCTTGCATGTTTTACATCTATTACATGGAGTCCAAGAAAATCTGAAATAATACGGAGTTGTTTAATAATTGATTTCAATTTGCTCACTCTGTAAGTCACTTTCAAGTAGAATACTGACATATTCTCTTAAAACTTATTTTGTTCATTTGTATTTGACAATTGGTTTTTTATAATAGCTAGTCAAATATTTAAAACAAGCTTTTAAACAAAAAATTATTAATGATTATTATCAATATCAAATTATGTCTTAAACACTTATTTCCCTTGCATTATTTTGTAAATTGGGTTATTAATCAATATATAAAAATTTAGTTCTTTATTGTTATTCTGAATACTAATTTTTTTGAAGTATGCTTTCAGAGCAAAATAAAAAATATTTTTGGTATATTATGAGGGAAGTTAACTTTTTATAATTTTTAGCAAAATATCATAAATATTAATTGCAATTCTCTGAATTATTTTCATTACATAGTTGGAATGGTAACAAAACCAGCAAATGAGCAATCCCAGGACTTCTCAATACACAATGAAGACTTTCCAGCATTACCTGGTTCCAGCTATAAAGATCCAACATCAAGTAATGATGACAGTAAATCTGTAAGTAAATGAGAATTATGTATGTCAATAATGTAGTGTTTTCCCTTCAGATTTCTCTTATATTAATAACTTTATAGACTATAGACTATATTAAGGACTTACTAAATACTATTACAAAATTGTTTATCTTGAATATTCGTAATAATCTAACTTCTGAAGAATGTGGAAACTCTATAACTTAGAAGATAGCCTATTTTTTTCCTATTTCATATAGGTTTGCAAATTTCTGTTGAACTTCTCAGAGTTAATTTAGACTTTTATTGTAGTCCCTGTCAGCTGGATCCCATGAAGTTTGATATTATAGCCTTCTAAGGAGCTGTGTTTTTCTTGAGTAAGTTTTCTCCTTGAAGAATCTTTATACACATTTTTATTCCTGTGTTGATTCAGCCAACTCAGCTTCCTCTTTCTGACTTAACGAATATGTTTATTTCTTCCACATTGCACTGAAAGTAGCTTTTTTTTTTTTGTGATCGAAGTTTGTATATTAAAATATTTGATAAAGAAGAATATTGGGTAAGAATTAAAATAAATATGAATTTTAAAAGTGCATATGTTCTGACTTATCTTGGAGGTTTTTAGGGTGATGTTTAGGTATTTAGTTTCTCTTCTAAATGGAAATATTGAAGACTTGTAATTTCAAGCGTATCCTGAGATGATGGTTAATATATTTTGTCTGTGACTGAAAATCTGAGATAAATAAGAATATTTTTCAGCCCTGACTGGTTTGGCTCAGTGGATAGAGTGTCGGCCTGTGGACTCAAGGGTCTCAGGTTCAATTCCAGTCAAGGGCATGTACCTTGGTTGCAGGCATATCCCCAGTGGGGGGTGTGCAGGAGGCAGCTGATTGATGTTTCTCTCTCATCAATGTTTCTAACTCTCTCCCTTTCCCTTCCTCTGTAAAAACATCAATAAAATATTTTTTAAAAAGAATATTTTTTCATTTATTCCTTGTCCTTTAAATATTCAAGTGTGTATAATACAGGATTTATTTGAATACTAATAGGACAGTTGTAGAAACAAAAAAATTTAATGTAGAACTTGGAACACAGGTAATAATTTACTGCCAAATTAATTATAATAAAGAATGAATAGAAATGTGAATTTGAAATGTTTCTACATAACAAAAATTAATGTTATGTTTAATTTTTTTTTTCATGTTAGAATTTGAATACATCTGGCAAGACAACTTCAAGTACAGATGGACCCAAATTCCCTGGAGATAAAAGTTCAACAACACAAAATAATAACCAGCAGAAAAAAGGGATCCAGGTGTTACCTGATGGTGGGACTCCATAAAATATGTCAGTGGTATTACAGAATTATTTTATTTTTTTACTTTTTCAGCAAAGATAAAAATGACTATGTTTTTCTTATTCAGGTCGGGTTACTAACATTCCTCAAGGGATGGTGACGGACCAGTTTGGAATGATTGGCCTGTTAACATTCATCAGGGCAGCAGAGACAGATCCGGGAATGGTACATCTTGCATTAGGAAGTGACTTGACAACATTAGGCCTCAATCTGAACTCTCCTGAGTAAGTTTTTTTCTTTCCTTCCACATTTGTACATAAGACCTTCCTGCATATCATCAAATTGTATCACCTGCTGCCACTAATTGTTGGTGTTATCTGTTGACTCATGGGTCATATTAGCTCCTGTATCTCTGTCATTTCACAATATTACTTCTCTTATAATTTGGCAGTTAAACACATATATGATCTTTCCAAATCCTGACATCTCAGCTCCTTGAATTTCTCTCCTCCAAAAATCTTACTCTTCTATACCTCACCTGCTTATCTCTTTTGTCATCCTTTTGAGCTTGCCATTACTAATAACTTCAGTTTCTCTGTAATTTTAAGTCTGTGCTCCCATGCTACTTCTTATCTTCTATCTCTCTCTCTGTAGTGTTGGCCCCTGTAATCATTTGACTCTTTTGGGACCTTCATTCCATTATTTTACCTTTTTGTTATTCCAAAACATCCCTGTCTCTCTTTCCCTGCAGTGAACTTATATCTCCACCTATTCTATTTTTGACCTGTGCTATTGAGCCTGGCGGGAGAGAAACTTACAACTTCACTGCCAGGTTTCAATGTAGTGTAGGTGTATAGCCAGGTAAGGGAAAAGTAGGACCTTAATTTTGCCAACCATAGTCATAACAGCATGCCTAGTCTGTTTATTCTTTTGCTGTTTTATGCAACTATTTTATATTTGCCTATTCAAACCCCTTACTCTCAGGTGATGGCCTTGGTTTTTTATTTCTATTTTTTAAGAAAGATGGAAGCAATAAGAAGAGAATGTCAGCATAGTCCTCTAACCAAATCTAGCTTTTTACTACCATCTGCACTTCCCTTATCTTGCACACTGTTGTTGTAGTTGATCCATTCTTTTCTTTGTTGGGTTATTTCTGTCAGCATACAAATAGGTTATTACTTTCATATTAAAAGTACTTCTTGATCTAATGCCAACTCTCCCCCCCCCCCCCATTTTTATATTCTCCTTTGAAGTAAAATTCTTTAAAAGAGCCATCTCTGTAAATAAATCCCATTAGGACATTCTTCTATTCTTTATTAATATTTTGTTCCTGCTACACTAAAACTACTCTTGTCAGGGTCATCAAATGAGCAGTGTGTTAATAAATTCATTGGTCACTTTCAGAAACTTATCCTTTTTTGGCCTGTCAGCAACATATGACATACATAGTTAGAAGCACTGCTGCATTGCTTCTCACTAGTTTGCTACCATCCTGTTTTGAATCACCATCCCTTCTTGCCTGGATTATTCCATTAGCTAGCTAATTATTGGTTATTTTTTCTTCTTTCTTTACCCCACACAATCTCTTCTTTACACAGCAGCCAGAACAATTCATTTTTAATAAGTTTATTCTCTGCTATATACCCAGTAATGATTCATAGTTTCGTTATGATTAAAAACCCAAAATATTTAGGGCTTTCTAATATCTGTAGGCCTGATTTCTGTCTCTCCAACAGCTTCTCCCTTTGTTTACTCTGTCCCAGCTTCACTGGCCTTTTTGCTGTACCTCAGACATGTCAGTTACAGCTCTGCCTTAGTGGTTCTAGCAGTTTCCTCAGATTAGGAAAATCTTTGGCAGATAAATAATGGTTAATTCCTTACATTCTTCAAGTCTTCGTTCATATCTAACCTTTTAAATGATACCTAACCTGATACCTATATTTAATTATATAACTAATCTTTCTCTGCCCCTCCACTAATAGGGAATATTATTTTTTATGTAAATTGTTTTTATCTACCTCCCTCCAATTCACCATCCTGAACCGAAAAGTAAGTTTCATTTTGTCAGTGAGCTTTGCTTTGTTTGTTGATGTATTTCAAGCACCTGTAATGGATCCAGGCATATAATAAGCATTCAATAAATTATTTGCTTTTAATAATTACTGTGGGATTTTTGGACCATAAAAATGGGAAAGTGATTTTACTTGGGGCATGGCATTAATGAATTCTAAGCATAGACATAGATATCTATATGTCCAGTTGTTCATATGGAAAAAGGCATGCAGGTTATGATTATTACAATAGCTTTATTGACTCAAAAGAATGTCACAATGCAACTGTAAACCTACTTTTGCTAACCCCTGTATATATATAAAACCTTGTTTCAGTTTCCTGCTGTATATAAGTCATAGTAAACCCAAAAAAGGAAATTAGAAATAAAAAGTTAATCTTTTTGAACTTTATTGTTTTTCCTGGTTTCCTGAACTAAAATTAGAACTCTTTTTTTCTACCCTGGACTTCAGAGTGTGTTTTTTTCCCCTCCTTTATTCAGAAATCTCTACCCCAAATTTGCGTCACCCTGGGCATCTTCACCTTGTCGACCTCAAGACATAGGTAGGAGATTGTATTTGTGTTAAGACCTTTAAAAGATATATTTATAACTGAGAATCAGTTAATAAGGCTTTTTTTATTTTATTATCTAGACTTCCATGTTCCATCTGAGTACTTAACGAACATTCACATTAGGGATAAGGTGAGTGTAGTTTATTATTCTACTCAGCATGAATTTATAAGTACTCAGGCACTGTTTTTCAGTTCAGATAGCATAATATTTTAAAATAATTACCAATGGTCTCAGGTATGATTTCACATGTTCATTCAGCTATATGTAGCAATTTTATTTCTACTTTGGTTTATAATTTTAATGTTTTTGATGAGGTTCTGGGTTACATTTTTAAAATATTTTCAACAAAACAATTTTAGGACTGATAAAATATTGCTTTATAGTTATCAGTAACAGGGTACAACCATAACTATAGTTGATGGGAATAAACAAACTTGAAATATTTAATTCCTTCTCATGTTCATACAGAAGAAGACATGCAGTTTATGATTATTACAGTAGCTTTATTAACTCATAAGAATAGTACAATGCAACTGTAAACCTACTTTTGCCAATCTCTGTATATATAAAATCTTTTTTAGATTTTATATCCTTATCTGTTAGAAATATTTTCTTATAGTGCAGATACAGGGTTTTTAATAGAACTATATATTATTTTTTTCAAAACGGTTTGTGACTTTTGGCTTTTTTCGGTTTGTTTGTTTTTTTTTTTCTTCTACTTTTGAATTACCTAAAATTCTGGTTATAAAGTAATTGTTAACAGATTGCAGCTTTAATTATTTTTTTTTCCCCCCTAATCAAAGAAAGAAAGAAAGTGGGAAACACTTTAGGGGAAAAAACTAAGAGTTTATCTTTGTTAGAAATGGTATCTGGATTTTGGCCTTGTGAAAGGATATAATACATTAAAATTACATATTTGTGTTATTCATTTGTGTATAGTGGCTAATGTAAATGACAGTGTTCTGCATTTGCATCAGTGATGTAGCCAAATCAATGTTTATGTTGTGGACAGGCAAGTAAAGAAATATATTTCTCCCTATGTCTTAATTTTTGAGTTAGGTGGAAGATAAGTATGAGATGGATAGATAGCTTTTTCTATTTTTGGATTGTGTGATTTGTTGCCACCTCCATTATAGGGCTCTTTTGCTCCTAGTACCTAAAGGTTCCAGACCATTTCTCAGTGCCAATTTAAGAAATACTGACAGGATGATTTGACACATTTGGTATTGCTACCTGAATGGGGATAATATGAATGGAGAAAAAATTACATTCAGATAATGTGTAACAGTTAAGTAAATACTTAGATACAGGATTAAGTAAAAAGATAAAAGTATTTTTGTTTTGGTGAGCATTTAAGATTTATATTAATATCTCACCATTTATATATTTGGTGAGAATTTGAGACTATTGAACTCACATTTTATAGTTTGGTAGGCAATTAATTTGTTTCAGCTTTCTGAGGGATACATAAAGCAGTCATTTTATACATTCATTTAAACAAAAAAAAAATCTCTTCATGATTTTTGTACTAAACATCCATGATTTGCTAAATATATATAATCAACTGACTTGTGGTTGTGTCATTGTCAAATGTAGATTCAGTAACATTTCCTGTGAGTCTATCAGACATTTTACAAGGCTTGTTCACGTACAATCACTTAATTTCATTTTCATTCTTAGTAACCCTTATAAGATGTCATTGTCTACACTTTATAATTGAAAGTTTAGAGACATTAAATTACTTGAACATGGTATGTTAGTAAGTAAAGGAATTAGGTCTTAAATATATAAGTGCTGAATCTTTGAGCACAATGTTTCACTATTACCTACTCCCACATTGGTTAACTGATAAATCCCTTAAGTAAGACATTCAGCATTTGAACTTAATTGGAAGTTTTTATTTAGCTCTTTTCCTAGTAGTACATAAAATAGATGTATCAGAAGTAATTGTTAAATAACTTCAATTACTTAAATAATAAACTACCCTAAATGATGAAACTCTCCTTTAGAATTATAGCTACTTGTATAATCATGTAATAGTAGTTATCTGCTATAAAGAGAATTTGTTTCTGTTTTTACTTTAGTGGTAGCAGTTATCTGATAAGATTCTCAGACTTGTTTTACATTTGAGAATCATTTATTTCTCTTTTCCAGCTGGCCGCAATAAAACTTGGCCGATATGGAGAAGACCTTCTCTTCTATCTCTATTACATGAATGGAGGAGACGTATTACAACTTCTAGCTGCAGTAGAGCTGTATGTTCAAAATACTTTTTAAACAATTTTTGTAATATAGTGGATCTTGTTCACTCTGAAAGCTGCTTTAAAAAAAAAAATGATGATGGCTATAGTTTTTGTCTTTTGTTTTTAAAGTGCAAATATTTCTCCATTAAAAATTTATTTTTAAATTTAGTAAAATAAAGTTAATTTATATTGAAACCTTAGATTACTATGGCTTCATAATCACTATGTGCATAAAAAGAATTTTAACTTAACCCTAAGTTTGTAAGAAGCCTGAAGGCAGAATCAACTTGGATCATGGATTTGGTGAATCTAATTTTTATAAGATATGGTTCATAACTGGTTCATCTGAGTCCTTGTGGAACCACATATGTTAATGACAGTGAATTTCATCATTAAATAAATATTATGTGGACAAGTCACTGTACATATATCTTATATGTTTTGAAATGTTGATAAGATAAAATCCAACTTACATTATTGTTAAAAAATTGGTCCACGGATATATTTTTTTCTGAGCATTTCTGTTTTTACCTGATGTCCTACAAATAAAAAGTTTGTGTTGTTTCTCATGTACAGTTGGTAACATATTAGTCATTCTAATCATGTTTGCTATACAGTGAGTTACTTAAAATTTTCTGATGTTATGATTAGGAGACATTTTTATAGATTTAAATATTTTATAACATTCCTTATAATATTTCTATAAATGGCTTTGATTAGATACTTTAATATAAAATTTACTGTGTTGGTAATAAATTATTTTTTATTTCTCAGCTGAGAGTTGGTTTTTTTCTCATGCTCTTTTCACATTTTTTTGTAAGATAGTAATTGGTAACTGTTCCTTTTAAGTTATAAGTAAATAAATTCATCCATCCATCACTGGGTATTTTGTCTCATATCGTATTTCTAAAAATTACCTCATGGTATAGGTAGAAAGGTATTTGTTTACGTGGAGATTTTAAGTGAATTTAAATAGTTAATTCAAATAGATATTATATTTAGTTCCATACAAAATAATTCAAGTAGTTAGCATTTTTGTTTGTTTTAATAGGTATTTCAATTTCTGTTGAATATTAAGAACAAAAAAGTGAAGTTTCTAGAATACAATTGATCTTTATTTGGTCTCCCTAACATTTTACCACATCATTCATAAAGTTTTTAAGATCTCGTTCTGTTTGCATTAAAACTTTCTTCAGTTAAATAAAGATGTGGGTTTTGGGAAAATTAAATTATTTTCCTGTGTTTATTTCACTAGGGTTGTATATAATAACAATAAAAGTCAGGACAAAGAAAGATTCTTATTTATTTATTTTATGTGTAATAATTTTCTTTAAAAAGTTTTAAAAATGTGAGCCACAGGAAAAAAATTAATTGTCTTTTTCTCTTAAAAATTGAAGTTTTAACCGTGATTGGAGATACCACAAAGAAGAACGAGTATGGATTACCAGGGCACCAGGCATGGAGCCAACAATGAAAACCAATACATATGAGAGGGGAACATATTACTTCTTTGACTGTCTTAACTGGAGGAAAGTAGCTAAGGTATATATTTTGTTCATGTGTAAATGTATAAATCAAGAGTTAAAAAAGAAGTGACCTCTCTTGTCTGTTTATATGTACCAATGCATTCATTTTAGTAACGTGCCAGGTATTTGATCTTTTGTCTCTACCTCCTCAGCTTGATTTAACTCTAGGAGAGTATGCAGAAACTGTTCATTTCACTCACAGTTAGAAAAATGATTGAACTTGGTAAGAAATTTTGTAATTTTTCAAAAGCCTGCGTGACATTTTAAATATTTTTGTTTCTACTCAGTTGTAAAATAGAGATACACTTGTGCAGTGCCAGTCATCTATTATGTTATAATTACTTTTTATTAAACATGTCTGAGATTTCCCTGAAACCAATATATAAACAGATACAGTGTTTTTAAAACAATTCCACTCATTGAAAAAAAGCTATTTAGAGTTTTGAAACAGAAGACTGTTCATTGGATGATTTTTTAGTTGTTAGTTTGAGGGGGGAGGGGTTGTTATTTTTTTTTTCTTTTGAGTCAGCTTTTCTAAACTGATAAAAAGAAAAAACATTTTAAGAAAACAATGTAAAGTGCTTACCAGATATTTATCACGAAAAATGTTTTACATCATAATATTTCTTATAAAACTTGAAAAATACAAAGGATTAATTTTTTTTAATTACTGTTTTTAGGTGTTTTCTGAAAGATAAATGTCATTACTTCTCAGACCAAGTCCGTATACCTCTATAGACTGTATTTGAGTTATTTTAACCATTCTACTTAAGCATATCTTGATTTCAAAAGATGGATCTGTGTTCTAACTTTTTAGTTATGTTAAAATAATTATATTCATTACAAATAGTACTAAGACGTTGTGTATATTATGTGTTCTTTAAGAAGTGATAGTGTAATAGAAAGCCATAGTCTTTGTTGACATGGATTTAAATTTAACTCCTGTTTCTGCTATTTCTGCTATTTTATGCTTTCACCTTGTGCAAGTTCCTTTTAAATTGAAATACTTGCCTCTACTTTAAATGAGATTACACACAAACACATTTACACTAAATGTAGTGCTTGGCAAATACTGGTTATTTATATATGAGAGTAGTTGTGATAGTTTGTTGTTGCTATTTTTATCGTTGTTATTACAGCTTATTACTTTTTCCCAAAGATGGAAAAACAATAATTGATTGTTGTTAGGTTAGGCCAATGGTCCTCAAATTTAAGTTTATATCAAAATTACCTGGAGGCCTTTACACAGATTGCTTGGCCATACTGCCATTGTTTCTGATTTAGCAACTTTGTAGATGGAACCTAAGAATTTTTATTTCTAACAAGTTGCCAAGTGATGCCAATTATGATGCTGGTCTTTGTCTGGAGCCATACTTTAAGAAACTCTCAGTTAGTTGATTCTGTAGGAGAGAGAAAGTCTCTTTGGAGGATGAAAAATTCTATTAGGAAATAACTGAAGTTTTTTCCATTCAATTTGAGGCTTTTGCTCAAAATCACTGTAAATTATTCCAAATTTAGTATATGCAAAAAAGGGATGGGTGTGTGAAGTAGATAGATATATAATTTTAGATTAATTTCAGTTCAGTATATGTGAAGAAAATCAAGTTATGTGAAAAATACTTATTTTCTATAGAACCAAGTTCTCTCCATAAAGTTAAATATTCAGAAACAATTTAATAGGGCATCTATTAAACATTAATAGGACCCCTTATTATCTCACAAAAGGAAATCCGTAGTCAGATAAATGTCATTTTAAAGAATATTTTGTTTGTGAATGTGTGTACACACGCGCGCACACAAAATAATTTTACCCAATTTTATCTCGTATTGTTGAAGTTTTCCTTAACCTTTTCCTTTAAAATTTTTATCTGTGAAGTAGGAAAATAAAATTTGGGAAATATCACTAAATTATTCTCTAAGAAATATCTCTTGAAGTAATTTGCTAGGCCCTTGTACTGATACTCTTCAACAAAATTATTTTCATAGTAATGAAAGCAAGTGGAATTTTGATATTTATCAGATTTATTTTAGTTGTATTAAAATACACATTTAGCTGAAACCGGTTTGGCTCAGTAGTAGAGCGTCCTTCTGAGGACTGAAAGGTCCCAGGTTCGATTCTGGTCAAGGGCATGTCCATTTGTTGTGGGCACATCCCCGGTAGGTGTGCAAGAGGCAGCTGGTTGATGTTTCTCTCTCATCAACATTTCTAGCTCTCTCCTCCTCTCTGTAAAAAATCAATAAAATATATATTTTTTAAAATGCCTTTAAAAGAAAAATACACGTTTATAAACTTAAACCAAATTGTATTGTATTCACAGAATACACTTTTGCACTGGCTTCTGTTTTTTCAGGCTTTTTCCAGTATCTTTTTAGAAACTGAATTACTGAATTGAGAAATTAATTTAATTCATAGTTCTATTCATTAATAGATTCCGTTATTTTACACTAACTCCATTAAAATACCAGGTCCCAAGTTAATTACAAAGTCCTCATCTGTAAAGTGGGTGTGGCTTACTATTTACACTTAAAGAACATGCATTGAATAGCTTCAACTCATTGTAAGAAGCATACACTAAGAATTAGTATTATCACCAAAACTGGTTTGGCTCAGTGGATAGAACATCAGTCTGTGGACTGAAGGGTCCCAGGTTCGATTCCGGTCAGGGGCATGCACATTGGTTGCAGGCACATCCCCAGTGGGAGGTGTGCAGGAGGCAGCTGGTCAATGTTTCTCTCTCATCGACTTTTCTAGCTCTGTCCCTCTCCCTTCCTCTCTGTGGAAAATCAATAAAATATTAAAAAAAAAAAAAAAAGAATTAGTATTATAACTAATAGCTTGATGTTACCATGGTATCATGAAAATTATTAGCCTGATTCAACTATAATTAGGTCTCCATTCAGAATATCTTGTATATGAGGTTCTTTCTTTCTCTTTAGCAAACCACTTAATATTTTTAGGGAAATTAAGAATTGTAATGTTAAGGGATTAGATTATTTAAGTCAGAAATACTTCTTATCCCTAAAAATTCTGACTGAGTTCTAGAATGTGGCCCATTATTTATTTTAAAAGTGTCTTATATGTCAATAATTTATGTACATAAAAATTTTAATACTGCCTTTGCTTATTCTCCCCTTTTAGTAATCTTGACTTGTCAGCAGACAGTGTGGTCTGTCCTATGTGGAATTACTCAGTATCCCACTAATTTAAAATTGTGGTAATTTGGATAGTGCGTATAGTCTTAATGAGTAAAATTTGAAAAATAATTTCATCCACAGAGAAATTTTAGATGCTAAAGTCGGCCCTATTATCAGTAGCTTTCTCAGACTAAACTTACAAGCTTAAGAATTTTTTCAGCCTAACTTTACCATTTGAGTCCAACGTTGAATAGGATTTTTAATGCTTAGGATTTTTACCATATCATAGCCTTATAGAAATAAGGGTTTTTTTTTTCTTTTCATTAACTTTATTGGTACATTTTAGTACTTTTTATACTGTAATTAGGAATGTGCTTTTTTCAAAATAAAAAATATTTCTAATATAACTATACTTAAGATAATTTGTTACTTCCTTCCTAAAATGTAATGAGAATTTATCATAGTTAAGGGAAAGCTGGCATTTCTGAGGATTTTAGAAAACGTTCCTACAGTGTATGTTTTTCTGTGAAATTTGATCAGAAATAATAATTTTAATTGACATCTAAATCCAGTGCATGTATTCTATTTCTGCTTCATAGTAAACTTTTGAGAATATGTAAACCTAATTTTATTAATAAGGCATTAAAAGTTGTTTTTTAAAAGTTTCTAGAACACTTTCTAGCCTTTAAAATAATTAAACTGTAATCTAAATTTTTTCCCATTAGAGCAAATACATACATAGATCTTCTAATACTTTTAATACTTCAAAAGTTAAGTGTTCTGTTTCTAAAAGAAATGAAGAAAACTGTGTTTATTAATTCATCAGCCATTAGTTGCACTTCTGCTAGAGGCCTGACACTAGACAGTAGGCAATTGTACACAAAAGAAGACATCTTAGAAACCAAGATGGTGGAATAGGTAAATGCCTAAACTGCTGCCTCGCACAACTATTTCAAAACTACAACTAAAAGACAAAATGGACATCATCCAGAACCACAGGAAATCTGGCTGAGTGGAAATTCTACAACTAGAAGGAAAGAGACAAGCACACCAAGACTCAGAAGAGCTGCAAAAGGATGATATATGAAGACACTCGAGCACGGAGAGGACTGGCAGCTGAGTGCGTGGCTGGCTTTCTCAAGCGGGAGGGAGATGGAAGCTTCCCACAGTGCTGAACTCCAGTTCTGGGTGAGACTCTGGGGACTCAAGACTCATTTGGGGAGAAACTGGACTGTCTGGCAGCAGGTGAAACTCAAGGGCTGCTTTCTCTGAGCGGTGCTTACAGTGATTACCACAGGACACTGAGACACAGAGACTATTAGGGCAGGGATGATGGGAAGCCAAGACTGTCTGCTCTACCCTGAGACTTTGCCCCATCCAAGCTGATCACAAAGCTGATCACAATTTTGCAAGTCTTGTCTCATAAGGGTTTTTCCAGCATAGAAGTTCTGCCAGTGTAGACACAGCTGATCCTCACGGCCAATTGGCCTGGAGTTCAATTCCTCCCAGTAATATCAACAATAATCAGGACTTAACTACATAGTCCACAAAGGAGTGCACCAAGAATGTCCACCTCAGGTAACTGGAGAGGCTGAGTGACTGGGTCCTATGGGACACCTAGCACACAAAGCTACTCTACCAACTCAAGGAAGCAGCCAAAATGCGGAGACAAACAGATTACAAATTTAAAAAATGGAGGAAAGCAAACGACTGGATATAGAGTTCAAAACAATGATTATAAGATTTTTCAAGAATTTTTTAGAAAAGGCCGATAAATTTAGTGAGACCCTCGAGGATATGAAAAAGGACAAACTAAAAATTAAACATACACTGACTGAAATTAAAAAAAATTTATTTTTAAACATATTTTCTTGAGTTTTTAGAGAGAGGAAGAGAGAGGGATAGAGAGCTAGAAACATCATTGAGAGAGAATCATTGATCAACTGCCTCTTGCACACCCCCCACTTGGGATGTGCCCGCAACCAAGGTACATGCCCTTGACCAGAATTGAACCTGGTACCCTTCAGTCCGCAGGCTGATGCTCCATCCACTGAGCCAAACTGGTTCTGGCTGAAATAAAAAATATTATACAGGGACTTATCAGCAGCCTAGAGAACTGAAAGAATCAAGTCAAAGTTTTGAAATACAAAGGAGCAAAAAACACTCAACCAGAAAATCAAAAAGCAAAAGAATCCATAAATTTGAAGATAGTGTAAGGAGCCTCTGGGACTACCTCAAGCTTACCAACATCCAAATTATGGGAGTATCAGAAGAAGAGAGAGAGCAAGATACTGAAAGCCTATTTGAAGAAATAACCAAAAACTACCCCTACCTGGTGAAAGAAATAGACTTACAAGTACAGGAAGCGCACAGAACCCCAAACAAAAGGAATCCAAAGAGGACCACACCAAGACACATCATAATTAAAATGCCAAGAGCAAAAGACAAAGAGAGAATCTTAAAAGCAGCAAGAGAAAAACAGTTACCTACAAGGGCGCACCCATACTACTGTCAGCTGATTTCTCAACAGAAACTATGCAGGCCAGAAGGGAGTGGCAAGAAATATTCAAAGTGATGAATAGCAAGAACCTACAACCAAGATTACTCTACCTAGCAAAGCTATCATTCAGAATTGAAAGGCAGATAAAGAGCTTCACAGATAAGAAAAAGCTAAAGGAGTTGAATCTAAAAATCAAGTGAATAAAAAAATCTGATGAACAGAATAAACTAGTGAATATAATAAAATCAGGGGCATATAAAGGGAGTGGACTGACAATTCTTGCGGTGTGGGTGCGAGAAGAGACTGGACAAATATTGTACACCTATGGATAAGGACAATGGGGGGGAGGGGTAAGGGCAGAGGGTGGGATGGCAACTGGGCGGAGGGAAGCTATGAGGGGAAAAAGAGAGGAACACTTGTAATAATCTAAACAATAAAGATTTATTAAGCCAAAACCGGTTTGGCTTAATGGATAGAGTGTCGGCCTATGGACTGAAAGCTCTGGGTTTGATTCCGGTCAAGTGCATGTAACTTGGTTGCGGGCACATCCCCAGTGTGGGGTGTGCAAGAGGCAGATGGTGTTTCTCTCTCATAGATGTTTCTAACTATCCTTCTCTGTAAAAAAAATCAATAAAATATATTTTAAAGACATCCTTGCCCCTACAGATTATTTAGACATGCATATGTGTTATGTGTGTACATATAGTATAAACATGTAAGAGAGATGTAATCAATAATCAAAGTTGTGGATATCAGTATAAAGCTTTGCGTATTTTAACAATGAAAGTATAGAAAAAACAAAAATAAGATTTAAAAATGGAACGCTAAAGTGTGACCCATTTAATTTCTAAATCTGATATAAAGATCTTTGAGAGTCTCTTAATTATTATCCTATATAATAAAAGGTAATATGAAAATTGACCCAGTGCTGGAACAACCATTCACAACCAGGGAGGCTGGCACTCAATGCAGGAGCTGCCCCCTGATGGTCAATGTGCTCTCACAGGGGGAGCACTGCTCAGACAAAAGCCCAGAAGCCAGACTCATGGCTAGTGAGCACAGCGGTGGTGGCAGGAACTTCTCCTACCTCTGCGGCAGTGGTAAGGATGTCCAACTGCCTGCAGAGAGCGGGCATAAGCAGGCAGTTGGACATCCCCCAAAGGCTCCTGGGATGGCAAGAGGGTGCAGGCTGGGCTGAGGGGACTCCCCTCCCCGCAAGTGCACACATCTTTGCACAGGGCCTCCAGTATTAAACATTTATGTTCCCTAGATTTAAACATCTGTTTTTTTTTTTAACATGTAAGGAAAATATATGTGCTTTGATGAAACCACTGTAGTTTTAAATTTTAACAGTAGAATTCACCTAAGTGCAATGACAAAGACAGAATAATTGAACAGAATTTTAAATTTTATAACTTAGGTTTTGAGATGTATGATTTGTCACAGTTACAAATAAATAGACCTTTTACCCTATAACAACATGTAGAATTAAAATGTTAGTTTTAATTTCTAAAGAATGATAGATCAAAAAGATACTTTCTTTACTAACTTGGGATGTATCTTCAAGCCAGACAATAAATTCTTTTAAAGCCTAGCCAGGTAAAAAGAGTTGTGCTTCTACAGTGTATTAAGGAGAGCTGTGGTGATTGTGATGGTAATTTTGGTATTGCTAGTTTTTACTGATAAGCATGTAAGCACTGTGCTTTTGTTACTGTACAAACCTTATAAAGTGAACCTTTTTAGATTAAAGTCATCACTGTGTGCCTTCTTTATGAATATTTGTCAGTGGACTGAGTTTTTCAATCTTAGTTATGATAGATGGTGTAATGAAGTGATTCTGTTTTGGATCTTTGGCTAAGAATATTAAAAATAATGTTTTATACTGGGAAAGTCATGGTATTACATGGATCTGGATTCTAAACCTAAACTGTATGACTTGGGCATTTTCCTCAGATGCAAAATGAAGATGTTATCTACAATTATAAAGATTAGAATAAAATCAGCTATAACCCTAGTTTTGACACACATTAGAATTTCAGCAAGTTATACCTGCTCTTTCTGTAATTGTTAATGTAATATCCTTAATTATTAAATAGTTGGTTTTGTGTCTCAAAATTTAATCATAATGTACGTTTTCATTTTAATTTAAGAATGGAACTCCTTCTTAATTTAATAGTGGGAATACTCATTATGAAATCAATTCAGAACAAAATAGCAGATAAGGTAAAATATGGTAACCCATAGTACTAACATTACTTGCTGGCTTTCTTTAAGTCATAATATATCATATTAAATAATTTTTTAATGTAATTGACTGAATAGTTTGTGCTAAATGAATATAGGTTGTAGGATTAGTTACTTTAGAACAGCTTGTTCTTTGGATTTACAAAGGTATGAGTTTTACATTAATACTAGAGGCTCGATGCATGAATTCGTGCACCAGGGGATTCCCTTGACTTGGACTGCAGGATCAGGCCGAAACCAGCTTTCTGACATTCCCAGGAGAGTCCTGGATTGCGAGAGGACACAGGCCAAGCCTAGGGACTCTGCCAGTGCACGATCGTGGCCGGGCAGAGACGCAGGTGGTTGGCCAGCCAAGGAAGGACTGTGGGAGGGCCCCAGGACGTGTCCAGCCTTACCAAGTCACAATTGGCCTGATCCCAGCAGCAAGCTAACCTACTGGTTCGAGTGTCTGCCTCCTGGTGGTCAGTGCATGTCATAGCAACTGGTCAGCCAGTCAACTGTCTGCCCCCTGGTGGTCAATGCACATCATAGCGAGCAGTTGAGCAACCTTAGCATATCATTAGCATATATACTTGGATTGGTTGAATGATTAACTGGACACATAGCATATAAGGCTTGTCTTATATTGGATAGGATGAAAATTAGGCTTTTATTATATTGGATAGGATGAAAATTATATTCTGTATCTCTTTGACCTTGGGGAAGTAGAAAAACAATGGCTTCAAAATTCTTAAAGTTTAAAACTCATGAAGTTAGTGTAGTATTTTGAAATTTTAATTGAAAAAGGCTAGGCAGTTTGCTTTCAAATGTGCCTACATCAGCCACTGTATAGTTTTGGGTAGTAGTTACATCTTTTCAGGGTTTTGGTTTTATGAAATGGGAAGTCTGGAGATGTGTGAATTTTAAATTCATTGTTTTTCCTCAAATTTAAATAAGGTTAGAATAACTTTGTATGCTTTTTTAAATAATACAAATTGGTAAACTATTTCTAAAATTTTTTATGAAAAATAAATTTTGAGTTTTTATATTTTATTGAATGAGGCTTTACTTTTAAATATAGCATGTCCCAAAAATGTATGCACACTTTAACTGCAGGCAACTCACTTAATTTTCACTCCTTTTCAGGTTTAACTGATTTGAAATAATGGGTGAAGCCATACTAAGTTTTGAACAAAGAAAAATTATCCTAAAGTGGCATTATACTTCTTTTTATGGGGATACATAAAAGATCAAAGATAAAGTTTATGGTACAAAACCAGCAACAGTCGACGAATCGAGGGTGCACAAATACCGAACAAAATGATTGTTGATGTTTGCGATTCCATTGCTTCACGTTATCAGCAGTTCCTGGACCAGAACGGTCATCACTTTGAAAACTGATGTTGAAAAAGAAAATTATTTCTTTCTGTCGATTCTTTTAAATTTTGAAAATGAACTGTATGTTAATAAATGCTGACTTTATAATCTATTCAAAGTGTGTATACATTTTTGGGGACACCCTATATTCTCTAGTGTTCAGTGTTTTTTTATTAGTGACATAGTAAGTACCCTGTTAAATTTTTATTTTTGTGGAGAAAAAAAAGCATAAAATTTGTGTCATAAAATAGATGTTCATAAGAAGTCTCACTTTTATGCAGGAAGTCTCTATTTGTCAGATAGAAATGACAGCATATTATTTTCATTTAAGCTATATTTTAAGAGTTGGTATATCTGTGTCTGTGAACATTCTCATAGATGTAGGCACGTATTTTGTTAATATAGTAAAATACGTTTTCACGAAACTTGGAGGACAAAGGGAGAGGAAATCAACTAAATTCTTAAATTTGGTTTTGTAGGAGTTCCATTTGGAATATGACAAATTAGAAGAACGGCCTCACCTGCCATCCACCTTCAACTACAACCCTGCTCAGCAAGCCTTCTAAAAAGAGACTTCCCTTTTCTTGGGGTATGGCTGTCTCAGCACAATACTCGAACATAACTGCAGAACTGATGTGGCTCAGGCACCCTGGTTTTAATTCCTTGAGGATTTGGCAATTGGCTTACGCAAAGGGTCACCATTTGAGGTCCTGCCTTACTAATTATGTGCTGCCCAACAACTAAATTTGTAATTTGTTTTTTCTCTAGTTCGAGCAGGGTCTGAATTTTTTCATTTATTTTCTTTTTTTTTTTTTTTTTTTTTTTTTTTTTTTTGCCAGCAGACAGACTTGGGTCTATAAAGACAAGCAAGTACACTGACAGAAGTTTACTGTTTAGTTTCTAAAATGTAAAAAAGAAAACCCACAAAAGACTCAACAAAATTAGACCACAAAATTTGCATTGTTCATTGTAGCACTATTGGTAATAAAATAACAAATGTTTGTGCATTTTTATGTGAAGATCCTTCTCGTATTTCATTTGGAAAGATGAGCAAGGTCTGCTTCCTTCATTTTACTTCCCCTTTTGTTTTTGAAAGGCAGTTTCGCCAAGCTTAACGCAAGAATATCTGACTGTTTAGAAGAAAGAGATTGCCACAATCTCTGGATGGTTTCCAGGGTTGTGTTATTACTGAGCTTCATCTTTCCAGAATGAGCAAAACACTGTCCAGTCTTTGTTACGATTTTGTAATAAATGTGTACATTTTTTTTAAATTTTTGGACATCACATGAATAAAGGTATGTATGTACGAATGTGTATATATTATATATATGACATCTATTTTGGAAAATGTTTGCCCTGCTGTACCTCATTTTTAGGAGGTGTGCATGGATGCAATATATGAAAATGGGACATTCTGGAACTGCTGGTCAGGGGACTTTGTCGCCCTGTGCACTAAAGGGCCAGATTTTCAGCAGCCAAGGACATCCATACCCAAGTGAATGTGATGGGACTTAAAGAAGTGAACTGAGACAATTCACTCTGGCTGTTTGAACAGCAGCATTTCATAGGAAGAGAAAAAAAGATCAATCTTGTATTTTCTGACCACATAAAGGCTTCTTCTCTTTGTAATAAAGTAGAAAAGCTCTCCTCACTGCAGTGTTGACTTTGATTTGAAATTGTGGAATTATTTCTTCAGTAATGAAACTAGAAGATAAATAAAAACTAAGGGTTTACAAGTATCAAATTGAAGGGTGTAACTAAACAATTTAAAATGTAGTTTCAGTTTTTGACAAGTAGTTTAATGGAGCCATCACCATTTCACTTGTAGGTTATTTAAAATGTAGACATTTTTAGTACTAACCAAGTTCAAAACTATTAGAAATAAAACTTCCTGGTCTTCTCTTGGGACCCAATCAAAATGCTTTTCTTTTGTGTGAAACTTGTAAGAAATTTCTCGATAGACTTTCGATATTTATCTTTAAGAAGCAATACTCAAATTAAGGGAAGACAAAAGCAGTGGCAGGATAGTCTTCATCTCCCATGTGCTGACCTGGATATTTCACACAAGTTGATGGGTTCTTTTCCATCTAAAGATAAATACTGTCTTTAAAATACTGTCTCTAAAGATAAATACTGTCTGAAGACTGAAGTTATGGAAGCAGAATTAAAGATAGTAAAGTGGAGTGGGGGGAGTATTGATCTTTAAATTTTCCCTTTTAACCTGTTTTTCTATGAAGAGTAAAAGTTTGACATTTACCAAATCATGTTTGAAAATGAAACATTTATGTCATTTCTGTTTTTGTCAGGTTTATAAGCTGGCAAGATTTATCTTTTTCTACGTATTTTGAGATATGAAGCTGATATAAAAATAACAGGATTTATTTAATCTCTCAGATTTAAACCAAAGCATCTCTTCTATAGGAAAGATAGCACTTATATAATTATAATTTTATTGTTATGAAAAAAAATCTTCACAGAACACACACCATTTGACATAAACCAGTGTCGAATCCTACAAATAAATTTCTTTTTTTTTTTAAATACATTTTTTTCATAATAATGTACTGTTAAATATAACTTCCTACAAAACAATGAAAGGATGAAGGAAAAAATGGAAGGAGGTCTTTATTCTTTTTTTTTTTTCCTTCAATATATTTTATTGATATTTTACAGAGAGGAAGGGAGAGAGATAGAGAGCTAGAAACGTTAAGAGACAAAAACATTGACCAGCTGCCTCTTGCACACCCTCTACTGGGGATGCGCCTGCAACCAAGGTGCATGCCCTTGACCGGAATCGAACCTGGGACCTTTCAGTCCGCAGACCGACGCTCTATCCACTGAGCCAAACCGGTTTCAGGGGGGGGGGGGGTTGTCTGTATTCTTATGATACAAACATAACAAAGTGTCACCATAATCATGATTAGTACTGAGTGAATGACTCAGAAGAGCAAAATAGCTCTTATCAAGTGATTTGTTTTCTTAATTGCCATATACAAAATAAAGGACACACTTTTTCAGTTTCCTGAGTTCTTTTACCCTGAATCATCAAAATGCAAAACTCTTCCATGTAAACCAGTTTTTTATAACTTGTTAATATCTGAAATTACCATGCTCAAGATCCAAGTTTTAAAATTCTATATGAAATTTTAAAAATACTATATTAAAACCTTTACTATAACACACTTCTATATTCCTTTGTTTTATACTTTGTGGTTTTACATGTGCGGAAGTTGACCTAAACTAGTTATTTCACATTTTCTTTCGTAGGTTTAGATTTTATTAACTTTTCTCTTTAGAGACATAAATGTATACATTATGTTAAATATTTTTTTTGCTTTTACTATAATTGGCTTTCTGGAACCACAAGTTATTTAGTTACAAAGAAAAGTCCTTTTGGTTATTTATTAATTTAAAATTTATATTTTATGGTTCTTGTGATATTTTAATTTATATGGAAAAACTCCATTTTCAGGGATTTTTTCAATTTGCACATAATTTTACTTTAAAAAATTTTTAATAATAAGGACTGAAGTTTATTTGAAATTTATCTGGTCTTATCCTTTTTGCCACTGGACTTGAAACACAATAGGTGCTTGATAAATACATGTTGATTAAATGGTATAAAGAGATATTTCCGTTTGAAAATAAAATTTACAAATTAAAGCATTGAGCTTTGAAACAATTTATTAATTTTTGTTGTAATTTTATTTTCAAGAGACTTTCTAAGCATTTAATTAATTTTCTAAACTTTTCCCTTTTCCCACTCTTTCTAATTGACCCACTTCTCTGAATACTCCATTAAAAAATATCAGTCTTCCATTTTATTAAATATTCTGTTTAATATTGGGTTAAATATGTGAGATCTGAGAATGGCTGCTGATTTTATTTAACTTAGATTTCCTTAATAGACCAGTTTTGCAAGAAAACTGCCAAAAACCTAAACAAGCTTGTGCGTATAAGAAAAGGGAACTTGCCCGCTAGCATAGCTCAATGATTTGAGTGTGGGCCTATGAACCAGGAGGTCATGGTTCATTTCCTGGTCAGGGCACATGCCCAAGTTACAGGCTCCATTCCCAGTGGAGGGTGTGCAGGAGGCAGCTGATCAATGGTTATTTCTCATTGAATCTTCTATCTCTCCCTCACTTGTCCTCTCTCAATGTTTTAAAATATTTTAAGAGATGAAAAGAGATCTTTAATGTTCTTTTAACCCTGGTTTATCTGTCTTGTTAATAAAAAAAAAAAACACATAGAAATACCTTCTAAGTGATTCTATTAAGACAGTTTCTGGAGAATGAAATAATCCACATCTCAATGTCTTTTTAAATGCTGGCTTCTAATGGCATGTCGCAAGGTTCACTCTCTTGCCACTACCATTACCTGTGAATTAGATCATACCATGAATAAAAGGCAAACCTAGGAAATGAAGCAAAGTCAAAATTGAGATCTAAATCAAACTCTATAATTTTGTTTGTTGAGTTGCTTCAAATAAGATAAATTGAATCAGGATAATTACTTTTGCACTTGAGTTGCTAAAAGAAAAAGGATGGTGGGATATAACAAGGCTTAAGAGTGGTTCATAGGTAGCCCTAGCCAGTTTGGCTCAGTTGATAGAGCATTGGCCTATGGACTGACTGAAGGGTCTTGGGTTCGATTCAAGTTAAGAGCACATGCCTAGGTTTTGGCTCAGTCCCCACTAGGGGTGTGTGGGAGGCAGCCTATCAAGGATTCACGGTCAGGGATGCTTCTTTCTATCCCTCTCCCTCTCTGAAAGCAATTTTTTAAATAAAATTTTTAAGTAGTGGTTCATATGTAGACCAATGTAAATTGTGAATCTGTTGGCCAAATACTAATCTTCAGCTGCCTTAGGAAAAGTATAGTGCTTGAAAGAAGGTAAGAAGTCTGCTGTATTTTGAGATCTGCCATGACTGGGGAAGGCAGAAGAATACATGTCCTGACTTTTAGTTGAAAATTAGTATACTAAGCATTTTTGCATGCTGCTTATGCTCTATCGTCAACATGGTATCATAAGGCAGGTTTTAGTATCCCCTTTTAAAATTACATTTAAAATATACAAAAAACAACAAACCACCATCACAAAGTAGGAATGTTTAGCATTAGAGAATAAACTTTGAAAACATGGTGTTTGTCTTCAGGTTTCAAATTCAAGAGCTGTCACAGAAATGAATTCATTTGTGGGTGAAGAGCAGAACCAATAAGGGTTCGGTGCAATTTTTTTCTCCTTTTTTAAAAATTTAATAAATCTTTATTGTTCAGATTATTACAAGTGTTCCTCTCTTTTTTCCCCCCATAGCTGCCCTCCACCCGGTTCCCATCCCACCCTCTGCCCTTACCCCCACTGTCCTTATCCATAGGTGTACAATAATTGTCCAGTCTCTTCTCGCACCCCACACCTCAAGAATTGTCAGTCCACTCCCTTTATATGCCCCTGATTTTATTATATTCACTAGTTTATTCTGTTCATCAGATTTTTTTATTCACTTGATTTTTAGATTCAACTCCTTTAGCTTTTTCTTATCTGTGAAGCTCTTTACCTGCCTTTCAATTC